TCTGTCATTATCTCAACCCTTCAAGCCCCACACTGGGCACCAAAGAGGACTTGTCGTGGTTTAAGCCCAGCTGGTAACTCAGAACCACGCAGCCACTTGCTCACTTCCCCACTTCTTCCCCCCGCCGCTCCCAGAGGGATAGGGAGAAGAATTGAAAGAATGTAAATCCCCCAAGTTGAGATAAGGACAATCCAGTAACTAAGGTATAATACAAAACCACTACTACTACCACCAATAATAATAATGATAAGGGAAATAAGAAGCAGAGACAATATAAAACTAAAAGGGGAAAAGGAAAAGAAAACAATAAACACAAGTGATGCACAATACAATGCTCACCACCCGCCAACCGATACCCAGCCTGACCCCAGCAGCAATCTGGGCCTTCTGGGTAACTCCTCCCAGTTTCTATACTGGGCATGACGTGCTGTGGTATGGAATACCCCTTTGGCCAGTTTGGGTCAGGTGTCCTGTCTCTGCTTCCTCCCGGCTTCCTGTGCCCCTCCTCACTGGCAGAGCAGGAGATACTGAAAAGTCCCTGATGTTTAAGTTGTTACTTAGCAACAACTAAAAACATTGGTGTGTTACCAGCAGTGTTCTCTGGCTAAAGTCAAAAACACAGCACTGCACCAGCTACTAAGGAGAAAAATAACTGTTACAGCTGAACCCAGGACAGTCTACTGTTATCATATTCTTACATGTTTGAAAATATAAGAAGGAAATTAGCATAATAAGAGATAATTTAAAGTACTGGTGTTTAAATGTTTCCAAGTATACGTTTCTTTTCCTGAAGCAATTATAGACAAGTAAAAGACTGCATGCCGTGTTATGTGACATCTTGATTGCATGGTATAACACTGTCCTCACATGCATGTGCTTTATCAGTAACATCAATAGCTAAAGAATGGAATAGTAGAGATAGTATGAAAGACACTTCAATACAGAGTATAAATGAAAATGTTGACAACTTTTCTGGTATTCATTAACCAAACTAAATTTACTCTCAAACTTACTTTCCTTTCACTATCTGTGATGTGTGGAAGTATTTTTTTCCTGCAGCCTTTTGAAACTATTAAGAGTAATTTTCTCTTCCCCACCAATTTTTACCTTTGTGATGATGGCCTATTATAGGAGTTCCCAGAAATCTGCATCTTTGAAGAGATTTAAAGGGTGGCTGGACTCACCGAGTGAATTTTCAGGCCCTGGGCCTGTCTTTTCAGATGCTTTCCTGCCTGTTCCTAAGGATGCAGTGAGGGGAACAGCCCCTGAAGCCATTTCTAACTAGAATTACAAATGCCATCTTGAGATGTTCCAGCCCAACTAAAATTACCACCTAAATGTGCTCAGGAAACAGAAGCAGAGAAAAATTCAATTCATCTGTTGTATGTGCCTCCCTCTCCCCATTTTCTGGGAGAGGTTCTGTAGTGAGGGCCTGAGCTAGCTCAAACTGAATGGAATTATAAAGCAGCAGTACGAGATATGTTTATTCACCCTCAGGATTGACTTTACTCCAACGACACATATGTAACATCTATCATAACTCTTACAGAAAGCTGTAATCCTGAGCTTGGACTGCTTTCTGCAAGGTCTGCTCCTGGTCTGTGACTCTGCCATTTCTGCATGTTCCAGCTTGCAAGAGGACGAAGAACATACCACTTATTCAGGCAACTTAATAGTCTGGCAGTACACTTCTCTGAAGGGCTTAGTCTTCGCTTAGAAACTACAGCCTGGCTCTCCTACTTCCACGTCACTGTTCTACTTATTGGACTGTTATGCCTTTTTTTTTTAAAGGGATATTGCTGAATGGAGGTGTTTATAGATTCCACCTACATGGTTATTTCCAGACAAGACTACAGCTCAAACAAAAGGTTAATTCAGTGTAATAACTTTGATTTGGTAAATCACACAAATGTATGTCCCAAAGCAACCTGGAAGAGAGAACAGTTTGATTTTTTTTTTTTTTTTAGTTATCCTATGAGGAAGGAAATACTTCTTTCTACTCAGACCCTTAAACTTTATGATTCCTACTTTCCTCATGCTACAAAAAACACCATCAAAACAACAGCTATTTCAGTATTTCGTTCTTACCTGTGTGATAAAATTTCCCTGAAAATCCCAGGTTGAAAGTAAAATTTGTAATCTGAGCTCTCAAGAGATTCTGAGTGTCAAGCAGGGCCTGAAAAAAAACAAACCAAAACCCAACAACTCATCATATAAACATATATGTAGAAAACATACCTGGCACAAATTTAATATAACAATATAGATACTTTTACAGATGTATGTCTTTTCAATTGCTTTTGCTATTTAAAAACAGCTCCATATATATGACAAAGTAGTAACAGGTATTTTCACTGCCATTTAAACATTAAAAGCAGCATGCAAACTCCATCGTCTTCCTCATAAAGATGACCAGCTATTAAATACTGGTTTACTCCCTGAATCATGAAACGGGAAAACAAAGGCACACTCCGGATAAAAGACCTTCCACTGATGACTCGGTAAACCTGGGATACAGCCAGGAATGAAATTCAGATCTCTTGTGCCTCCAGCTGCTACTCCATTCACTAGGATGAACAGCTAGGATGAGCTACAATGGTGTTTTTTTGTATCAGGTCAACTACATACATAGCATGTTAGTTACATTTTAAAAAATCACTGGCAATGAGAAAAAAAAAAATAAAATCCAGAAAGCTAGATGAAGCCTATTCCATAGCAAAGAACTTAATCCTAAATTCCCCCAAATTCTGAGTCATTTCGCACAGTTAGCACACCGGCTGTCAGCATACATATACTTGAACTAGATAAGTACAAACAGAAAACCAGCATGCAGGAAGAAAGGGAAAAGCTATTATTCATCAAACTCAGTCAGAAAACTGATTTGAATATGCTTTTCTTAATTTGTTACTCCCAAGATTTACATATTGCTTTCAAGAGTTACCTCCTAAACACACTGCTGCTGTTCGGTTTTCCAGGTGTAACAAAGAAACCCAGCTCTCCAATGCAAAATAAACTTTGCAAAGCAAAAAGCATCCTCTAAAATGAGACTTGGGGTGCATTTTCCTCCAAGCAACTTGCCTTCATCTGAGCACTTGATGGTTGGTAATTTTTGAGCACACTGGACTCTGGAGATTTGTGACATTGAACACAGCACATCAGAAGCACATGGCCAGCTACGGCAAAAAGACACACACTTGTGCAGGTACTTATGCAGTACCTTTGAATAAAAGGGAAATGATTATACACCAAAGTTTTTCAAAGTCAGCATACATTATAGCACAGTGCTCACTGTACAAGAAGTGATTAGAAGTATTTCTATTGTCAGAAATTACTAACTAAGCATGTTGAGAAATGGGAACATATTTAAAAGCACAAAAAGTCACTGGAGATTTTCAGAGGTTTAAAGGTCTAGAAGGCTCCCCACTCTTGAAATTCAATGACAATTTGGTGCTCCAAAAAATATGAGACAGCAATTAAGAGTATCTTTGGTATTTCATTATATGAGTAATGTGTCTACAACTTTTTTTTTTTTTTTTAACGAATGTCAATGACAACAGAATATCAGCATGGAAGTCACGCCCAGCTTTAGATCGAGGCATAGTATCATCAAGTTACAGTTGTTCCAAATTACCCATTTTACAGATGAAGGCAATATCCACCTTATCAGAGAAACTTCTGGGCACTTGAGCTCTTCTTCAGGTCTTTACCAGGGCTCATCTGTATCAGTTGTAATAAAAGTACAATCTCCATCTGCCTATTTCCCTACCCTAAGATACCTACAACATGACAGTGACCAAATCAGGCAAAGGGTGCAGGGGCTCCCCTGTGCATCAACCTCAAGAAAAGCCCAAGGCAGCAGGCCCAGCGGTGCTCCCATTCCCAATAAGAGGTGGCCGCACACCATGGCTGGTGCATATGTCCCAGCTCTGCGTTTGCCTTTCCCACCACTCTTTTTCCAGAGCTGAGCATTTTCACCTGGCCCCACTGGGAGACTGCAGCACTGACCAATGCAGGAATACAGCTGTTCTTCAGCCCTCTGCTAACCCGTATATGAGGCCTCAGCAAGCTCACTAAGCTTGTAGCTCAGGCTGGCTCGGGAAAGCTGGTGCTTGAGGGAGCTGATCTGAAGCAACAGACCAGTGATTTGTCCCTATCCTGGGGGGCTGCAAATTCGAGTTTTGCTGATAAAACATGAGTGGTTTCAATTCTGAGTCATGAGTAGTACTTGCCTTATTCACTATTTCAGTGAACCATAATGCTATACCTAAGCATATTCATTAAATATATACTAATCACAAAACTAAATCTGTGAAAGAACCATCATTTTTCTGCCTCCTATTTCTTAAGGTCATCTCAGATCTGGAAACAACTTGCCTTTCCCACCATCACCTGCTTCACTGTAGCTCCAGCAACAACAATACAGGCCATTTCAAAGCACAGGACTGCTAAGATAAAGATCATCTTTCACTGGAAAGCCCGAAAAATGTCCTTTGAACAAGGGACTTTCTAAAGGAATGACTAAAATGAAGCACAAAATGGAGATAACTGAAAACAGGCTCTAGACTTCCGAAGGGAATATAAGAGAAAAATCTTGCAACACTGTAATGAGGGCTTTTGCACAGGCTGAGAGTGCAGATCACCCAGGAGACTTCTTACTCTAATGAAAGGTATAAAATCCACAGAAAAGTTATTATGAAAACCATCCTTGAGCTGCTGGGAACCTATTCGATTAAGTAATTTTATCTTTGCACAGTTAAAAATGTAGGAGGCAAACAACATGTCTATACGCTTACGTTAACCGTAGATACTGTCAAATGGAAAGGATCCTGAGAGCAGCTTGACAGCAAGGTGGCATGAATGGGCTGCATGGTTCTTGCCCTCCTAATTAAGAAGTGTGAGCATTTTTTGAGCTGAAGGTCTTATCCTGTACCTAGCACCTTCTCAGCCTGTCAGCTCCAGTCTAGTTTCATCATGATGGAAAACCAAAGAGCAGCTGGAAATACCAGAGAAACACAACCCGGAAGACCATCTTTACTGCACATTCCCAGCATACTGCAGCTACAGGACTGACCAGAGAGTTGCCAACCCAGGCTTTCAAATGGAAGGTGGGAAAAGGGTTACACAAAGTCCATAATGCAAAATAAGAGTTTACTTCTTTGCTGGGATTTAGTTTTGCTAGTGTAGTTACCTTCTTATCGCCTCAATGACACACCTGGTGGCTGCATTTTATTTAAACCAGCAGTCACAAGACAACACTCCAAATTACACCTAAATAACACAAAACTTTAAAGGAAATCTGAAGTTCACCTTCTACAGAACAAATTTTGAAAGCGATGACATTGGGTTTTCTGGCCACATTGCTTTCATTAAAATCAACAGGAGACCTTGTGGTAAAGCGTGTGGTGGTATTTGAAAACATATTGGCTAATATCAACGGTGTACCTGCTCAATCTGCACAGGGGGAGGGGACAGGTCTGCAGTGAAGCAGTTTTTGTACAGACAAGCTGAGATAACGTCTGAGTTGCCATGCCTATGATTATTTTCTGGGTGACTTGACATTTTACTTATCTTTCAGGTTCTAAAAACAAAATGTTAAACCTCATGCAAAATATATAGAAACAGATGGCAGGGCCTGTTACTGTGAATTTCTGTTATAATGACAGAAGTAGAGAAAAGTAGGTGGACAAAAAGCCTGAAATTTCATTTCTAAATGCTGCTTGATACACTGAAGGTAAGCTGGTGACATTTCCTGTGTATTTTGTGATTGGTTTATGAACAATACCCTCCAGGTATTTGTATGAAATGTTATGTAAATACATTAATACTGATGATTATATTTTAAAAGCTGTTTACTAAAGCCTGCATATGCTTATAGATAATTATAGGACATCATACTTCCACTGATACTATAAAGAAAACAAATTGCTGGCTGCCTAATCACTTTCATGTACATAGCTACAGAGGAGTATGTACTTTTTAACTTTTCCTAAGCTTACATACTAGGTTTAGCAAATTCCTTGTACCAGAAATCAAATGTGAGATTTCAGTATATGATGAAAAGCCCCTTTCTTCACCCATAGTCCAAAATAATCTCAGAAAAAGGCTCTGTTATAATCCAGTGAATAGACAAGTTATCCCGACAGCAAAACAAGAATTCTCCCAATCTTTGCATCTGACAAGTTTATACTATAATGAAAGGAATGTAAGAAATCATGTATGTTGTAAACAAAACCCAATTCTCAGACAATTAATAAGCATCATGCCATTTAAGTTATTTCTATTCCACTACGTAAGCTGCTGTAATTGCCAGTGGGAACTCAACTGACTGAGAATTTAGGAGAAAATGGACTCTGAGATCACAAATGTAACAGAAGGAAGCGCAAGAATTATTCTTTAATTGGAAGAGCCACACAATGGAAATGTATGAAAATTCCTGCTTTTGTAAAGATGGCATCTTTCTTTCTTGACAACCATAGTGTTTAGCTCTCTTTATCACTTATCATTCAGAAATATAAACTCTTTTTACAAAGAAAACAGGTCTTTTTGATTTTTCTTATCTTACAGATGGTAAAAATAGAGGCACAGACCAATGACACAGGCTGTCAAAAGCTCCTGCTCAAGTAAACCATCAGTAAAGCCAAGGGTAAAACTCACATCAGCAAACTTGCTTCCTATCTACCTAGCCAGGAAACTGTCCTGCCTCCTGTCCTCAAGTATCTCTTTACATTATTTCATTTTATAGTCTGTTAAAGAGAAGTCACAAGTGTCAACTTGTCTCTGGTAAACAGATAGTAGTAATTTCTTCAGCATCAGCAAAAGTATTCAGACCCAAATATCTTGGATGATCAAACAAATAAATCTAGAATGCTTTGTTGAACTCTAAGATGAACTTATGACTTCTTCCTGTAGTCACAACATATTTGTGACTATTTTCCTACTCAAAAGCTGCTAAAGAACTTAGCTGATCGAAAAGCAAAATAGTTTAAAACACTGTTAATTCCACTTGTAATCACACAGATTTTAACTAAATTGTGACAAAGCCTCACAACGCTGCAGCACTAACATCTTAAACTTCAAATCAGTACATGCTTTCATGTCAGAAACAAAAGCAAGGTCAGCTTCGTAATATCCCAAAAAGCCTATCTTCTCCTCCTTTTTTCAGCAAGCAGATCTTAC